TGCCGATTAATATATACAATAGAAATGGAACATATAAATATAAATAATACAAATAAATAGCTGAAGACAGAAAAGGAGACAAAATATGAAGATTTGAAACTGATGTGTGCAAAAGAGCTATGAGCTTAATATGCTGGCTTAATATGTAAGATGACCAGATGTGCAAAAAAAAAATTATTATTACTGTTCAAAATGGGTCAGCTGTTCAAGAGTCTGATGGGGAAGAAGGAGTTAGTGAGTCTGGACGTTCTGGATTTCACACTTCTGAGCCTTCGTCTCGAGGGCAGAAGTGTGAACAGTCCGTGTTGGGGGTGCGTGGGGTCTTTGAGGATGGAGGCAGCTCTCCTCTGGACTCTGCGATGGTAGATGCTCTGCAGAGAGGCCAGCGGAGTTCTGATGATCTTCTCCGCAGTTGTTATCACTCTCAGCAGGTGTTTGTGGTCCATAGCAGTAGTGCTGCCGTACCATGCAGTGATGCAGCTGGTCAGTGTGCTCTCTACAATGCAGCTGTAGAAGCTGCCGAGGATCTTGGCCGACATACCAAATTTCCTCAGCCTCCTCAGGAAATACAGCCGCTGCTGGGCCTTCTTGACCAGCTGTGTGGTGTTCAGTGACCAGGTGAGGTCCTCCGTGATGTAGATGCCCAGGTACCTAAAGCTGCTCAGCCTCTCCACTTCAAGGCCCTGGATAGACAGCAGTGGGTGAGGCCTCCTCTTCTTCCTTGTGTCCACTATCATCTCCTTTGTCTTGTCAGTGTTGAGGGTGAGGTTGTTGTCCTCACACCATGACACCAGACCAGCCACCTCTCTCCTATAAGCCACTTCGTTCCCTCCAGTAATGCGACCGATCACTACAGTGTCGTCCGCGAACTTCAAAATGATGTTGTCTTTGTTGGAGGCGACACAGTTGTGGGTGTACAGGGTGTAAAGCATAGGTGTCAAACTCAAAATTAGATTTGGCCCGCGAAGCCATACCAAATCACTATTAGAGCTGGCCTACTGGTATTATACAGCTAATATATATATTGTTTAGTATTAAGCTTTGTTTGTTCCATATTCAGTTTTTCAGCAAAACATGTTTGAGTCCATAAGAAAAGATTCATTCTTATATCTGGAGATATAAATATATTTCAATAAATATTAACGTTAGCCCGCGAATTTGTTCCAGTTTTGAATTGGCCCACTGTGTATTTGAGTTTGACACCTCTGGTGTAGAGGATGGGGCTGAGGACGCAACCTTGTGGGACGCTAGTGTTTGTAATAATGATGGCTGAAGTCCTGTTGCTGATCCTGGCGGACTGGGGCCTGCCAGTCAAAAAGTCCTGTAGCCAGTCACATAGGGTGGGGTGCGGGCCGAGTGTTGCCGGCTTGTGAGTGAGTTTGTGTGGGATGACAATATTGAGAACGGAGGTGTAACCAACAAAAAGTACCCTGATGTATGAGTCTTTATTTTCCAGAAAATAATGCATGTTTAAAGAAACTGACATCTTTGATATACAGCATATCTTTGTATCAAAATAATTCACTTTTCCACCAGTCACTGTCACACAATCAAAGCTGAATCAATAAATGATTTAATACTAACATGAATTTTTATAATAAATACCATCCATTCATCCATCCGCTCTCTCCATGTCTTCTAGGAGGACACTAAGGTGTTTCCAGGCCAGCTGAGAGATGTAATCTCCTTATTGTCTTCTGGGTCTGCCCTGGAGAATTCTCTCAGCTGGAAGTCCCTGAAACACTTCACCTGGTCCTGGTTTCAATGTGGAGCTGTAGGGGCTCTACTCTAAACGCCTCCTGAATGACCGACCTCCCAGGCCTCATTTTGGTAGCTTTTATTGTGATGTCATTCTTCTGGTAATGACACAAAGCTCATGTTCATGTTGGCAGCGGGAATGTAATGAAACAGATTCCCTTTTACACTCTTCACCACTGAAATCATGCCCCCATGTCACACCAATCCTTCTGTCAGTCCCCCGTTCAGTGCTCCCCTCATTCGAGAAAAACACTGTGAGATACTTGAAGTCCTTAACTTTAACCTGGAGTGGGCACTCCACCGTTTTCTGACTCAGACTTGAAAGTGCTGGTTCCCATCTGTGAACTTAATGAACTGCTTTCTTTCCTCTTGTCTCTATATACACAATACTGGGCACACACGTTACTGTGCTAGAACAACTTTGCATTACTGTTTTAGCTCCCTCCCCCCTCTCCTTTTAAGCCAACTTTCTTCTTATTGGCTACCACTTGTAACATAAAAGTGGGTGGGACTTCTTTCTGCCTGTGAGGACCATATTAAAAAGATCCCCTCCCTGTTACTTGCAAATGTTAATGCTTCGTATTGTTTAAACAGGTGTCTTATAAACATGTTTATCCTCCATATATAGTAGGCTGTAAACATGTTTATTCCTAGTTAAAGCTAAACATTTTAACATCATAGTCTATGGGGACCGAGTCACTTGGCTACCTCAAGTAGCCATTTGAGGAACTGGAGCTTTATCTTCAGCCCGAAAGGTTGGAGTCTGGATAAAATATGAAGATACCACTAAATCTTAAATTCCGCTTTGACATAAGAAAAAGAGGCTTCTCTTGTTAGAAACTTTTATTTCGCCTCTACAACCTCTTTTTTTGAGCCTCTGTCCAAAATAAGCTTTTTCACCTCCACATAAAGCCAGCCTCCCTTGTAATTGAAAGTGGGTGGGACTTGTGTGTTCCTCTCACTGACATCATTAAGATCCAAGAGGAGAAAAAAATCTAATAAACTGTGTTTATTAAATTAAAGCCTGAGCTTTTGGCTCAAGTGGATTATTTGTTCACACACTGACCTTGTTATTTGAAACATTAGCCATCTTTATTGGGAACATACATAACTGAAAAAGGATATATATGAGCGAAAAAAACCCCACAATCGCACAGACTGTATTTTGTATTTTTTGTGATAAGAAGCTACAGCCTGACTAGCTTAAACAGGACTGAGGTTGAATTGGGAGAAACTGGTGAGACTCCGGGCTTACAGCAGAGTCATGAGTGAAAAACCAGAGGAATGCACTCGCCCTCCATCATTATGAAAGAGCTCTCTGAATCACCACCATTAAAAGCCTCATTGTTGCTGTGAATGTGAAGCTAATTGGACTAACCCTGTGAGAGGGAGCTGCCGACTTCTCCGGGCCCCGTTAATTTGAGGAGTCGCAGCTGGCTACTCATGTGTGCCTCACTTCCAGCCTTTAATTTAGCTCCACAGAAAGCTGCATAAAACAATACAGGGGGAAAAAAAGGGGGACGAGAGATCCCAAAATTAGCGTGGAAGAGATGATCTTGTAGTTTCTATGCCAAAAAGATTTAAAAAGGCTAATTTAAAGGCACTTTTCATGCCAGAAAGCAATCAGAGCCGAGAGCCTGGACGGATCAGAGAGCATGTAAAAAAAGTTTTAATTTGAAGGGACACACAAAAGAGGAATCCGAACGTTTTTATGGCTGAAAACAATGTAAGTCTTCGCTCTTGTATTTTATTTTTTTATTTTGTTTCAGACAACTATGGAGACCACAAACTGCTGGCTGCCTGGAGCCCACAGGAAAAAACAACCCTCCCTTTTAATTAGACCAGCTCACCAGATTAGGCCTCATTAGGCTGCAACACTGGAGTGCAGCTAAAGCCCGCGTAGGCCTCCAGCGCATCCCACTTTAATTGCTTCTGTAATGGCCTCAGCTCAGGCCTTTGAAATCCCATTCCTGTGGGTAATCAGCCATGTTTGTCTGAGAACCACAAGCGTTTCTCCCCTACTTACCCCTCAGTCTCAGGCAGCCAGAGCTAGCTCTTTAGCCCAATCACACACTTGTCACATGTGAGTCGAATGACTGAATTATTATTATTATTATTATTAGTTCTTCTGAAAGAACTCCAAATACTCAAGAATCAACAGAGAAATGATGGTTTGTACTGCAGCAGAGAGAATGTCAGCACAATGAAAACACGTCAGTATAAAGAGTAAAAATGTGAACAGTACTGCAGTAAACATTTAAACTACACAGTATATGTCACTGCAGCTGAGTAATCTTTCCAAACACGGTTACTGCATGAAGCTTAAACATGTTTCAGATGATACTTCTTTCATACAGCATCCTAGGAAAAAGGTACATCATGGGTGCTGCCGTGCTACGCCCAGTAGCAGCTGTGCTCCTAGTTGATCTAAGAGAAATTTTTACCTGTGTAGAAATGACTATGTTTCTAGAATCTTGACTTTCTTGTTTCGCTTATGTACTGAGAAAAAATTTAACTTCAAACTACAACATATAAAAAATATCTACAGAGTGCTTGAGGATGACTGTTTGTGCAGTTTGACATTAAAAACAAAGAACTAACTGAAGCTTGGTTAGGCTGCTTTGTGATCATGCCAACAAACATACTGCCCAACCACTTCTGAAGGACTGCCCTTCAGAAACAGAAGGTCCAGACTGCAGGGCGATGAAGCTTCTGTGGCTGAGGTGGCCATATTAGGGATATTCTCCCTCTGACATCACACGGATCCAAGAGCAGAAAAACCTGTCTGAAAGTGAGTATTGAGCGGTTTTAGCTGCTGTTTTAGCTCCTCCCATCCTTCTGTTGTCCCACGTAAACAGATGTAGGCGGAACTGATTCCATTTTTATGATATTGCAAAGATCCTAGAGCAGTAAAACCTCTCTGAAACTGAGTATTTAGAGCATCCTGAAGCCTAAACTATCTTATTTTGGTCCATAGTGCAGCATCGCTCAAACAAGTCCACCCTTTCAACTTTTTTCTGATTGGCTGGACCATGTAAAGAGAAGTGGGCAGGGCTCATTCCATCATCATGACATCACACAGAGCCAGAAATAGAAAAACAAAACAGTGAAACACTGTATTTTTACCCCCCCTTCCCATTTCCTTTTGATTGGCTGAGCCACATAACGAAAATTAGGCAGGGTTCATCTACTCTGTATGACATGAACATCGAGGGCAAACATGATAGGAGATAAATATCAAAGCCTGCTTTAATATTTCTTTAAATACAGTTTCCTAAATCAATAAAGAATGTTAGCATTTTTACTTTGTTGTTATCATGTTTACTGGAGATGAGGCAACAAAATTAAAAAATGAAACTGTGGCACAGATTGTGGTTAACTCAGACTGTCAGATGAGTCTTTATTCAAATAATCAGTCTTAGCTGTTTTATTAATCGCCATCAGCACACGGAGACAGGTGGAATCAACTTTAGCGCACTATAACTTTATCCTACAATGGTTCACATGGTAAAGCTTCCACAGCACTAATGCCATCAGTACAACAACAACAACATAAACATTGTTTTGCTAAAAGAGTATTACCTTCACACTCTTAATTCTTCTTAGTAGAAGGAAAAGTTGGACTTGGCCACTGCCATGTCACCCACTGTTGTAACTTTAACTTTATCATTCTTTGGCCTCCGCCATGTTGGTTTTCTGGAGCTGGAAGTGACCATATTTGGAGGAGAAGGTGCTGTGCCACGTTGTCAGCTAAAAGTGAGCAAGCCAGTTATTTTAAGCCTCAATAAAATCCAAACAGCTATAAACAAATGAACCCCACCGTACACCTGTTATTTAGGAGAAAACTGCTTCAAAGTTGGACATTATAACATGGGAGTGTATAGGGACTGACTCACCTTGGGAGCCAGGAACTGCACATATGCATAAGCTGATGTTTTATTCCACAACAGAAACTCAGTGATAGTAGCTTCTTCCTGAGAACAGGAAGAATTAAAAATCAAAGCCAGTCTTTAATAAAGTAAGTTAAATAAAGGGTCCGTCCTTGTTTTTGACACTACAGTCAAAAGACGACTGTTCTTGGTTTCCATTTGTAGTCATTTATATATATATGGCAGTACATCTCCCTTCACATATAGAACAGAGCAGGTATCAATGTCAGCAGATATGACACTGAAAAAGTCAGAAACGGCATTAAAAAGAGAAGCTCAGGTGGAGGTGGGTTGCAAAGCAGCTTGCACAGACTAAAACAGGTCATACAGAGTCACTGATATGAGACATGTGGAGGAGAACGAGCTGATTTAACTGGGAAAAGACAGTCTTAAAATTCATGGAGAAATCAATCCCATTGTCTGTGACATTCACACTGCCACTAGGGAGCAATTTCTCTTCACTAACTCGCTAAAATGTGAATATTTCACAGAGAAGTACACGTCTTTAAGTCAGTACAGATGTTATGGTGTCCAGGTGTCTCTCAGCGTGTCGAAGGAAACGTCGAGTAGCTAAAATGACAACACAACAGACCCAAACGAGTTTTACTCAAATATGTGGTCAAATATAGTTCACCTCCTGCAGGAGTCACATTGCTTTCATTGTCTTCTCCTCATTCAATGTCCACAGTAACTGGCTGGCTGGGAAAATTAAAATCACACAAATGGGACAGTTCCACTTTTCCTCTTTCAGCCAGGCCACAGCTAATCAGTGAAATCCCAACAGACCTCTTTCAGATTTTACTCCTCGTCATCTTCAGAGTCTGTTGGGAAGTTAAAATCTGAACCAGCGGCAAGGGTCCACGAGATCAGAGGGAGGTTGACCAGCGGTGGGATTTACAGCGAGGGGGAGAAGGTGAAGAGGAAAAAGGTGGGGGAGAAGGCACACATTTGGTTTTCCATCCTCTTCCTCAGCAGACCTGTAGATGGTAAAGAGAAGAGGTTATAAACCAAACCAATCACCAGCTTGGATAAACATCCATGAGTCTGCATTAAAGTTAAACTGACTGGAAAACAACAAAACAAAATTCCAATCCACTGGATTGGTCTGTTTCATTTTCATTAAGAACTCTTTTTTTATCTGCATGCTGTTAGTCCACATAAACTACTTCCAGGTGCAAACACCACATTTTGAATCATCTCCAGATCTTCTCCCCAACACGGAGAAAATTACTCTCAGCTGCTGATGAAGCAACTTTTGACTGAACTATCAACCTCTATTTAAGCCTCTGAAAAAAGGGGGATGGAGCAAAAAATACTCGCCAATTCATCAGCAGTTAAGCTCACATTTTTGCTTCATGAAAATCTTCCTGAATGAAAATGATGTCACTGTTCAAAAAAGTCTTAGTCCAGAAACTGCCTCTCACCTTCTGGTCAGACATGATGTTGTTGCCCTGCAGTGGAGTTGAGTGTCCGCCGAGCAGGCCTCCTCCCGGCCGGTCGTGCTCACAGAAGATTGTCCCGTTGACATAGTGGAAGCGATCGCCGGGAACCAGGCGGTTCCTGCATGTTGCACACGTGAAACACTAAAGAAAAACAAATAAATTGGATTAAAAGTTTCACCGGTCTGAAAAGATGAAAACATGTAAGGTTGACAACGCTGGACTGGTAGAAGATCACGCTCACCTTCAGGTGGTAAACGCTGCCTTGTGCTCGCATCACCATCTCGCTGGCAGGTATAGACTGTCCACAAGCGCTGCAGGCTCCACTGTGTCCAAACAGCCTGCACATGAAACCAAACAGTCATGCATCAACACAACAGCCATAAAGCAGATGTCGTGGGTTCTCAAATCCCATCTCTACTATTTCAGGTACCTGTGAAATGTTGAAATGTTAAGACATAAGTTCAATGCCACCAAATACGTCAAGATATCTTAATGCCAGAAAAAAAGTTGCCATCACAGCAGTAAATGTCAGTTTTTCTACATGCTGATGTAGTAAAGGAAAGAAATCTGTCAGATGAGTCTTTGGGCTTCAAGTGTAAGAAATAATGTATAAAATTACAGAAAAGACTCCTATAGTTATTATAAAACTGAAGGTTTTACTGTAGAATAACCTATGACCTCCTTCATATTTTCAAAAGCAGTCCAGCAGGCCGGATTAGAGTCTTTGTGAGGCAGATTCTGGCTTCCAGCCCTTATGTTTGACACCCCTGCCTTATATAAACACAGCATGTTGGCACCACTGAAGCTTGGGCAGAAGGGTAATAACAAAAGTTTGTGATTAAAGCTGTAAATGGTTTTAAGTCTTCATGCATCAGTTATATATAGTCTGTATTTAGCACCCATAAAAGGTCCAATGAGAGGGTATCGGCTCCGGGTCGTTTCAGTGTGGCGGCACACAGCAGCCAGTCCTCATCAGTCTGAACCTGGAGGAAGGTCAGTGCCTGTGTTGAACCTTTAAAGGAAGCTGCTGTCATCATTAAAGCTACACGTGAAACCCCGCGATACTCACTTGACCACTTTGGCGTCTCTCTCTTTCTCCCTCTTTCTTTGTCTTCCCCTTTCAATGACTCCACAGAGTAATGAATTTTTTATCTTAATCCAAACAGTCATTTAATGAGTGTGCCTGAGAGGATCCCTGTCCTCCTTAATTAACCCTCAGACACACACACACACACTCCTCCCGAGTCTCAGTTAAGGCTCATCTTTCTTTAGCAGCATGACGAATCTAAGGACTCGACCCCAAACCAGACCTTAGGTAAGTCCACCTCAGCTCAAGGTTTGGATAATTTAGCCATGGCTTTCCTGTCTGTTGGTCAGTGTCTGTAGCTTTGAGTTCATGGGATGGATGGCGGTTGGAGGTCCTCCCCACTCAAACACAAATTAGCTGAAATCCACTGTAGGACTATTTATACATATTTTGAGCTCTTTATTTGCACTCCTGCCACAGAACGGAACAAACGGCTGCCAAGCGAGAAATCTGAGGCGGCTGTAATTCTGGAGTGGCACTGGAAGTCCAGAGTGGATTTAAATCCGACGTTTCTTCAGCTCGTTTGCGGCTGGAAACACACGCAGGGTTTTTTTTGTTTGTTTTTTTGTGAAAATTAGGTCTGGTGTCAGGTGCCAAAAAGCTAGCACTTGAACATCAGTACAAAACGGCCACATGATGCTGTGAACATTTGGCTTTCAAGCCAATCAAAATGTACGCTGGTTCTCAAAAGCCATCAAAGCAGGAGAGCTTTCACACTGACTGGACTGCTTCTCAAGTGCTCCATCACTGCTGATTGGGCCAAAAATAAGAGGTATTGGTGGAGTTAAAAGCACACATGACTTCAATTTCCACAAGAGTAACAAAAGCCATGAGCTGAATTAAAAAAAAAAAAAAATCTATTCAAAAGCATTCAGCCAATCAAAAAAGGCAAAATAGGAAGTGACTAGACCAGGGCGATATGACAAAAAATATTTATCATGACATACATTTGAAAATTTGCAATAACGATATAACTGACGTAGAGCTGGGCGATATAAGATTTTTTCATATCACGATATGTTTTTTCATTTCAGGCGATAACGATATCTATCACGATATAAGCCAAATAACTATATTTGTAAGATTTAAATGTGCCGTTGCTCACAAGTAAAATGTGAAATAATCAGCAGCTTGTTTTTATTTAAATATTTGTTTCCCATAATAAGTTCAACAGGGTAGATGTACTTAAGGAACATGAGACTTTTTCAGATAAATAAAGGCAAATATTTCAAACTACACAAAAGGCAGCCGCTAAAGCGTTTAAGTTTCAAAATAGAACAAACGAAACAGACTAAATTGTCAATTCAACTTAGAAACAAAATATTAATTCTAAAAATAAATCTTAGTTTGTTTTACAGAAGAACAGACAAAACTGGCTAACTTTTGTCAATATCAAATAAACTGAGAACTAAAAGGAAATTCTCAATCTCTCCTTGTTGTATAGCTGAGCTTTTCAAACAGTTTTAACAGTTACTTTAGTCTGACAAAAGCCGAATGACGAATTAGCGCTTCCAGTCAGAGACTGAGGCTACGTCCACACGTCCACGGGTATTTTTGAAAACGGAGATTTTCCGTGTTCGTTTTAAAAAATAATCCTGTCCACACATAAAGGCAGAAATGAAGGAAAACGCTGCTATGAACATGCCAAAGCAGCAGGTGGCGCTAGATTCCTAACCGTGCAGAAATGTTGGCCAATCAGAAGTCTAGAAGCCTCGGTGGGAAAAAGTAAACAAAGCTGGGGCATAGAAGCAGAGCCGAGTCGTATGTGTGGACGGACAGTAACTGTGTGTATATGTAAGCATTTAAACACTGCAGAGAGTAGAATTAACAGTAACAGTATTGTAGAAATTCATTTCACCGAAACAATAACGTGGTGCACAGTGTGACGTCAAAAAATGCGCACACCTTTGACGCTGCGTTTTCTCCATTTTTCTAGTCCACACGTAAATGCAAAAACTGAGTTTTCAAAAATATCCACCCTGGCCGGAGTTTTTAAAAATCTTCGTTTTCAGTGACCAAAACGCCGTTTACATGTGGACGAAAGGTGCAAACGCATAGAAAAATCTGCGTTTTCAAAAATACCCGGGTACGTGTGGATGTAGCGCATGCACCAGTTTATTGTATGTCCAGACTTGCTTTCGGCACAATTTACAGTGAACGCTACTGTTTTTTGTCAGACTTGAAATAGCCGAAATACCTTCACACTACGGAACTTCTATTGCTCTTCCGTTCGACAATCTCTCCGGCGTTGGAACCATCATCTGTTTTCTCTTCGGTCACGCTCGGTTGATTTTTCTAGTCGGCACACTCATTTCCTCCATTACCCGGGCGGTACGGTGGCTGGCTGCTTCCCAAACAAATACACATGTGCGGCTTGGCACTTGTGCTGTACGTAACAAGTCACGTGACGTGACGCTGCGGCTGTGATTGGTTGATTGGTTCGGCTCTGCGCTACTTAATTTGGATTGGCTGACCTTTTTTTTTTTTTTTTTTTTTAAAAGAGGACATGAGCGGCGAGGTCTATCGCGATAGTTTAATTTTTCTATCGAGAAAAAGTTATATCGCGATACATATCGTTATTGTTCTATCGCCCAGCTCTAAACTGACGATATAATTGACACTAGACAAAATGCTTTACAACTCCACAACTTTATTAGTGCAAAAAACCCCAAAAACATCAATGTATTTTCACTTAAACAAGCAGCTGTTTTTTATGTGCATTAAAGTTATATAAAAAATTAACAGTGCAAATGCAAAATCCTTGCTGACAGTTTAACCAAAAGGCATTTCCAGTGGAAACTGGCTGACAGATCCTCAGCATAACCATGTATAATATCCACAAAACTTAAAAAGTGGTTATACACACACAATACGGTAATATTATGTTGAAGCACAGTACGTATCACTCTGCGAGGCTCCTGCCTACGATAGCCGCAATGCTCCGACAGTCCATCAAGCGGTGCGGGTTCATAGCTTAGCAAAGTCGTACTGAAACATTTGACAGATTTTCGAGCGCCGTGTACGACATAAAATCGTTTCGAGGTCAGTAAACACAACCAGAATTCATACATAAGGCACACAGGATTATAAGGGGCACTGTCGATTTTCAGAAAAATCAAAGGATTGATTTTAAGTGTGCCGTCTTTTCCAAACAACACGTAATAACGACGGCCCGCTAGCATGCTCTACCAAAAATAGTGCTTTGTTGTGTATCTGACGGGCGAAAGCTAAACCAGTTCCACACCACTGAAGTTGTAGCATTTTTACAAACCAATTTTGGTTCATCCGTTTCATTTAACGATCCGCTTTCGCCCTTCTCATTCTCTGTCGCCGTCATGCTTTTTCCGCCATGTGCATATGAAAACAAAGGCACTGCACATGTGTGTTTTACCCATATTATATCACAATATTTCATTTTCTTATCGTTTGCCCGACATTATACCGGTATTACTGTGAACAGTATGATATGGCCCAGCCCTAGAAGTGACATCACAAAGCAGCATTCATAAAACAAAACGTAGCTCATGGGATCACTAATCTTATTTTGGACGAACCACAGTAAAGTCTTGACCACTAGAGGGTGCTACAATGACCAGGAATCATAGACTGTATATAAAAAATGGACACTGCCAACATGCTAGCTTGCACTGCTTTGAGGTTTTGTATTTTGAAGCTTGAACGGGCACATTCCAAAAACATGTATAGTTACTAACAACGAGAGAATAGTGATAGAAACCAAAGGTATTTTTGTAGAAGGCTGTAAACATGTTTATTTCTGCTCTAAAGTTAGACACATTGACACAGGAGTCTATGGGGCTGATTCAGTGCCTGAGCCAGCCTCAAGTGGTCACTAGAGGAACTGCAGGTTCTAACATGAGAAGCCATCACATCTCAGCACCTGAGCTTCCTGAGACCAAACTGGTGTATCGACTTGGCACACGTTCCCGAAGCTGTCAAAAAAACAAAAAAAAAAAACCCAGCATTCAACAACTGAAGAGCTCCCTGTTAGTTTAGAATCATAGTTTGATTGTGACTCGACTGACCAGTCTGTTTTGTAAAAGGCAGATTTTTGCCTTCAGTGAAGCCTTTTTCAGTTTGGATGAGTTTGAATGAGCTTAATCATGAGCCAGTCATGAATGCATAGGAACCTGTGAGAGTCCAGCTTCTAATTTGGAGTCACACCAGTGCAAAAACCGCATGAATACTAATCAGGGACATTTATATGCACCTGCATAAACATCCCATTTTACGGCTGGATCGAATGTGGAATTTCCTCCAACACACTGCAGACCTCTCATGATTATTCAGTGTATCTTATTGCAGATTGTGGCGTAATCCGACCGTACAGTCAGAGCTTTATTTATTTCATGAGAGGCTGCTGTATTATTACTGGCCTGATGCACAAAGTCTGCTGTGTCTCAGGGTCCTCCTCAGCAGCTTTCCAGATCCAGCCCTCAGTTTTTCCTAGAGATGCCCACAAAACCCCTGCCTGCACCTCCCTCACACACACTAACACACACACACGTTTCACGTTTCTGAAAAGCCTCACCTGATGTAGTCGTTCTTGCAGAGGATCATGCCGCCTTTGCTGTAGCAGGTACTGCTGTACTCGCCCAGCTGAGCGTGGCAGCAGGAGCACTTGAGGCAGCGCGTGTGCCAGTACCGCTCCATCGAGAAGAGCAGGAAGCGGTCCGCGATACGACCCCCGCATCCTGCACACGACCTGCCCGCTGTCCCGCCGCCGCTGCCCATCACCGCTACTGTGGGTGCCTCCACCCTGCTGTTCACCATCGCCACTGGAGGGTAAAAGGAAAGAGGAACCATTAGAGGTTAGATATAAAAAAGGTGTCAAAGATGAGACCAAATAAAAGCGTGTCAGTGATGTTAACTCCAAACCTGAGGCTGCGACTCACTTTCTAATATTAATAATTACTTTCAGATTCACTTTCAGTTGTTGCCACCTAACTGATGATCAGTGTGGGACAGCATGGCAGGGTGAGAAAACCAGGATTGGACTGGACCATGATATTTTTCTAAACTAGCTGTAAATGCTTCTTTTCTACTCGAGCACTTAGAGCACATTATACAACATGTCTCATTCACCCACACACGCAAGCACTTTTCTCTACACACAAGTGCTTTCCATCCAGCATTCACACGCATTCACACTCCAATGAGCGAATCAGGACCAACTCTGGGTTTGGTTTCTTTCCCAAGGATACTTGATCGAAATACCGACCTTCTGATTGGTAGATGACCTGCTCTACCTCCTGTGCCACAGCTGCCTCTTGTTGTATAACCACCAGAAGCCCTCTGACACACCAACTGTCAACTAATGACATATTTCTTCTCCTCCAAACAACGCTAAGTTGAATATTTTTCTGTAGCCACAGTTTTTAGTGTTTGTACTTAGTTTGGAGACTAAGTTGGGTATCTGGTATCTATCTATTGGATATCTATTAGAGAGGAGGGTGGGAGCTCAGAGTACAGACGCTGCTCCTCAAGACCAAAAAGAAATGCATGGAAGGAGATGCTGGGGTAGACCCAGGGTCTACCCTCAGTTTGAGAGGAGCTTGACAGGTTGAAGGGAGGTCTGGGCCCACTTATGGAGTGAGACTTTTACCTGAATAATTAAAGGTTCATAAAACAGTGCATGAGGCAGGAGCATATCCTTGAATATGAATGTAATACACAAACATAAGAACGATCCCCAAACAAGCTCAAAGATGGTAAAACAAAACCACACACACTCTTCTGAACCTGATAAACGAGCCCCGTGAGCAGGGAATCTGTGCAGGATCTGGGCCTTGATTTAATTCTTTCCTTCATCATCTCTTTTTAAACATTACGGAAACACATGTACCGTCGGGCAGCATTCAGCATATTCCTCCTCACTCTCGTTTTTCCATTACAGAACTGAGCTGATTTCATGCACAGCTGGGAATAATATTGCTTTTGAGTACAACCACAGCAGTGTGTGTGCCGCTCAGCAATGAGTCAGCAACACTGCCTCTTCAGCCGCTTCCATGATTTATAATTAGGGCCAACAACAACATAAAATAATTGCAGGGCTAGATTTCATTTTCCAAATGAGCAACAGCAGCACAATTTGTCCTCCAGAGCGTCTAATTTCAGCAAGGGCATGTTTAGCTTTACGACTAGCCTTCCCACAAGATCATTTGAGATTGCAGCAAGCAGCAGCTGGTCCTCTGCGGCGAGGCGGGCTGCCCTCAATACCCTCATTTTCTAGAGTAGACACCTGGCTCTAATCAACCACAGGAACACCATGTTAAGAAGCCCAAGGCTACGTTCAAACCACAAACAGCCACACGCGCTGGGACCAAACCTTCTTATTAGTGACGGCTCAGTCATGAATGAGTCAATCCTCTGAATGAGAAGTGAGGCCATTTATTTAATCCACAAATGAAACCTTTACATTTGAAATGGGTGAAAACTCGAGCTCATCGTTTTAGCCTTAAATTCTCCTCGAGGTGTTTAAACAGCTTGTAGTGCACAGCAGGACAAACCACAGACACAAAGCGTGACTAAATCCGACAACTTTTTCTACCAGAAAGACATAAAACTAAACAGTGCACAGTCGGGGGTTTGCATTCAAATCTGTGGACCTGGGCTCTGTGCTTCCCTCTCTACTTCCTGCCATGAATCTCCTGTTCCAAAGCTGGATTTTCACATTAAACACGTCCAAAATTTCAAATAATGAGCTCAGTGTTTCTACAAGTAATCCCTGTGAGCGGAACACTCATTTGTCACTGTTTTTTCTACTCTTGGCTCTGTTTGATGTCAGACCTTACACATATGGGTTTATGAGGGGCAGCCAATCAGAAGAAAGCTTGCTTAAAGGGGGAGGATGCAGAATAGCTTGTTTTAGACAAGATGAACTGAAGGCCCAGTATAAGATAGGGTTATTTTGAACTGTGAATCATGCAAAGCTGCTTTATTAGAGTCCAAAAATAGAATTAAAGAAGCTGGAAATGAACCGACGGGTCCTTCTTCATGTGTCTGCTGACAATGAAAGACAAGAATGATTACATAAACCTGCATCACTGGTATACTTTAAATTCACTTTGTATATAATCAGTACATTGCCCTGATATTTGGGGCTACATGGGCTGCAGTTCTTCAAATGCCCACTTGAGGTTCCTGTGAGTCAATCCCCATAGACTCCCATGTTCAAATTCAACAGCAGAAATAAACTGCTTTGGTCTCCATCCATCCATTCGCTTCCGCTTATCCTTTTCAGGGTTGCGGGGGGCGCTGGAGCCTATCCCAGCTGTCGTAGGGCGAGAGGCGGGGTACACCCTGGACAGGTCGCCAGGCCAACACACAGGGACAGACAACCATTCGCGCTCACATTCACTCCTAGTGGCAATTTGGATTATCCAATTAACCTATCCCCACAAGCTGCATGTCTTTGGACGATGGGAGGAAGCCGGAGTACCCGGAGGGAACCCATGCAAACACGGGGAGAACATGCAAACTCCACACAGAAAGACCCCGGCCTGATGATGGAATTGAACTCAGGACCTTCTTGCTGTGCGGCAACAGTGCTAACCACCGCGCTGCCCTGCTTTGGTCTCGATAGCTATTTTTCTCCTTCTTAGCCAGTTATCAGGGGTGTAAAAGCAAAAGACAGGGACGTGCCTGATGTGGTCATCTCAGAGAGACAGAAGCTACACCCACATGTGTTTACAAGTGGCACCCAATCAGAAGAAAGTAAAAGTAATCTCAACTTGGAGGCAATTAAAGTGACGTCCAATAAGTGTGAAGTATACTGATCATTGTCATAATGTAGCGCCAACTGTTATTAGCTACAAACTGATGGAAACTGAGCCATTTCCGCCTCAGTGGGCTTTTTCATCCAACCAGGATCAAAAGCATTTATAGCTGACCAACTCATTACTAAACCTATCCTGAAGTTCAACCTCTGACCTCACTCTCCCGTTAGCATAAATCCAAAAGGTTATCACAAGGTCAATAATTCTGGATCTGTTCCCACTTGGTGTTTTTAATGTGACCGTGTGCCTAAACATCTCTTTCTCCTCCTTCTGTCTCCTGTCTTTGGTGCCAGATTCCTCTGGGTGGCACATCACCAGCCGTGAAATCAATTAGCGGCCCGAGTCTGCAAAGCATAACAGCTCCCCTCCCACCCCTGTGAAATAAAGTGAAAACCTGTACATCGTCATGAGTTTGTCTCTACAGTGGCATCCAAAACACAACCCTGTCCTCTGGATATCATTCAGGTGGTGAATCAGACCTGACCGGCTCATATGCAGACTAAAAAGGATAAGAAACCTCAGTTAATGAGTCTGAAACCTTTAAAAGAACACACACACACACACACACACACACACACACACACACACACACACACACACACACACACACACACACACACACACACAGCTCTTTAACCTGAAAAATGTCCAAACGTTCCCAAAACAAAACTGTGGAGCAGCGGCCAATGCAATCATCACACTAACACCTGTGTTAATTCGAGAAGATTCGAGACAGCTGCCAAAAACCTCTATGATACAATTCTTATCCAATTAAAATGCAAATCCTGCTTTTAATCATCTCCTGCAGCACACAAAGCCTCAGCGTGTCTCACTGCTGAGACGGGGACGTTTCAGGCTACAGATACTCAGATTTATACCCAGCAGGTCGTACGATATATTTGCAGAAAGTAAATATCTTTGTCTAAACAAAAGCTGCTTCTGTGTAAAGTGTAATTATGTTGCCATATTTACCAGGACGTTTGTCACATTTTGGGTTCAGTCATTGTGTTTTCATGAATGTTTTATCATCTTCTGGAATGTTACCAGAAGCTTTATTTTATAATTTCTGGATGCTTTATGGAAAATCTGCTTTGTTGTGTAATCTGGGCGTGATGTTTTTTTGTTTGCAAGTTATTTGAAAGGTTTTCTGGAAACATTGCAGTTCTGAAACATTTGTCATGCTTTGCTGTTGTGTTTTTGTATTCTCATAAAAGTTCTGGAATGTCGTGTTTCCTGAACAATTCTCTCGTTAGGTTTCTGTGTTGTTGTTATTTTCATATTTTCCTAATATTAATTACTTTTTTTAATGTTCCTTTTTGCAGAAATGTGATTTCTGAAACATATTTCTGGTTTTGCTGCTGTGTAACATGTACAGGACATGTGGTTTCCTGAACGTGTTTCCTGAAGTGGAACTTCTTCTGGAATGGCATTGTGATTTCGTAAAGAAGAAGGAGTGTTTTACAGATTTTTGCCTTGGTGCAGTCAGGTGGTTTTTATTTTCCCATTTTGTTTGCCGGAAATGTCATTTTGTCGTTTCCTGCTGAAAGCTTTCCCGTCTACTTCTTAGTTTCCTCTAAAGCCTGATAAAATGCTGCACAGACTTCCGATTCTTCCTTCCTGCACACGCAGGTCTGACCATGTCATTTCCAGCTCCACACTCACCTGTGTGGGCTTTACTTTCTGAGCTTCCCCTCGGGGTGTCAGCAGCAAACACTACGTGCTTTCAAACCGCTGCCGGTGAGCTCTGCTGCATGGCCGCTGAACCACCACAACACTCGCTGAAGCTTGGCTCTTCAAACGAGTCTTCATCTTCGAGTCTTTTTGGTCGGATGTTTGGCTCTGGTGTCAGACTGTAGTTAGTGGAATCTGACTGAAAGCTGGCCAGAACATCTGTGTGACTTCTCGGTGAAGCTGAGCGTCACACAAACATTATGATCACATCCAGCAAACTGAAATGTTCCCACCTTTGCTTTTTCTTTCTTTATTAGCAGCTCTTTAATCCTAAAGAATCGCCGGTAAAGGAATAGCTGCGTGTGATGGAGCAGTGAATAAACACAGGGGCTAATGAAGAGACACAAACTGGTGAATCAGATCCAGTTTCAGGCTGATTGGGTTGACAACAGCTCTTTTTTTTTTTTCCTGGCAGTTGACGGATGTTCCTCATATTAAGAAAAATCTTCGTTCTGTGCAGATTGGAGGACCTCAATTAGTCTAAAAGGAAAGGGTTTAAGAGTATAATGTGTCACAGGGCGTATCAGGTTATGGCTGATATGTCATCTAGTAATTCATCACAGTCCACAGGACTCCCAGTTTGAGTGGCTTATATTCCCTTTTAATCAATCTTTTTAATCATTTCTTTCACTCAGTGTTTCTTATTCCATTTAAATTGTGTTTGCCTGATTTTTTATTTTTTATTTAAGCACTTAATAGTTATTTGCCATTTAAGCTTGTGACCATCAGGACTGTATTTCAGCTTTTTACTGGTTCCAGCATTACCCCAGTCCTGACATCTCACCACTGGCTTCTTATTTGGTTTAGAGAAGACAGTGGTGAGATGTAAGGAAAGATTTGGGGGGGGGAAAGGAGCAAAGAAAGGAAATTCCAGTAGAAGAAAGGAGAGAACCTAAAGAAAGAAGAAAGGGGAAAACAAGGACACAAGCTAAGAAAAAAGGATAGATAACAAGGATAGAGGCAAGTAAGTAAGACAATAAGGGCAAAGTGAGGAAGGGATAGGTAAGGAAGAAAGGTAAAAATGCAGGATGGGGAAAAATAAGGACAGGGAAGCAAGGAACAAAGAAACAAATGAATGAAGAGAAAGGAAGGAAAATGGGGTATTCAAAAAGAAAGGAAAACAAGGAAGGAAGGATAGAAGAAAGAAAGGGGAAATAAAGGCGAGAATGAAGGCTTGATAAATGGAAGAAAAGCAAAACAACTAAGCAAGGAGGGAGGAGTGAATGGAAATGCAAGGAAGATAGGTAAGGAAGCACAATAGAGAAGAAAATAATGATTGACAGAAAGGACAAAAAAGGAATGAAGTGAAAGAGAAGAAAGTAAAGAAAGAAGAAAACAGGAAGGTAAAGTAAAGAAAGTAAGAAGAAAAGCTAGGGGAATAAGAGTAGAAGATGAAAAGGAAGGAAGAAAGAAGGAGGGTAAAAGGAAGGGTAAGAGTAAAAGACAGGATAGGAGGAAGAAATGAAAGAAAGAAACGGAACGAAGGACAGATGCCCTGAATGGTTTGCAGCCATTTTAGTGGCTGCTGGATGCTGACAGGACGAACTGTGCACGAGTTGTTTTATTCTGAAATTATGAAGTGCTTCCTTCCTTCTTTTTTCAAAGCAGCTCAGTGAAGCCTCCTCCACACTCTTCAGAGGTGTAATTAACAAATAAGCTGCTTTCAGTCTGAGGGGGTAAAAGTGACTAAACGAGCCCGAGCGAGGGCGCGCCGGTCACACAGATCCAGTTTCTTCTCCTGAGACTCTCACAGAGAGACGTGCCGTTTCATTAAAACAGGCCTCTTTTTAATTAACACAGAGGGCACGGGTTCGTGTGGCAGCAGCGATCCTGCTCGCAGTTTCAGTCAAATTAAAAAGACGCAGCTCTGCCGCAGAAGCAAGAGCTGATAGAAATATCCTTTTTAATAAAAATTTGGTCAAATTTATTCAGTCAGTCGCTCGTTTAGGAAAACAGTTTCAGAGACAACCTGCAGATTCTCCCACAGAGACTTTCCTGTGGTGCTGAGAGCTGAACAAGTACAGCTCAGATCACTTAAACACACCGACACACACACGCCTGTAACGACGTGATGAAAGTTCACTGCATGCAGCAGGTTTACTGTATATGAAAGAGGGACATGGCCACTGTGATGTCCCTCGTTAGTGAAGTCCTGTTCTGAGTATTTTCCCGCCTTTTTTGGCTCTTAATGGGACCTATAATTAACAACACGGTTTTTAATATGACCTAAAACCAAGATCATAAGTTCATCATGAGGATCTTGAGAGACACTGCGTCATTTTCGCACAGACTGTTTAATCAGAGCAGTCGCCCCCTGCTGGTCATTAGAAAAAACAGGTTTAAGCGGCTTCACTTTTCAATAATGTCTTTTTTATAAAGAGCATCGTTGACACCAACAGTGATGGATGAAGCATACATGCCAATAGTTTTTTACATTTATTGCAACTCTTGATTTTTAGTTATTTATTTTTAGGAGCTTTTCTGATCATTTGATTTTGATTCTTATTCATAAGCTTGTGTTTGTTATTTTTGTGAAGTCAGAATAAAAATATTTAGCTATAATAACTGAATTAAAGCATAAGTTTGAATGAACAAGTCAGCGGATATTTTACTTGAGCGTAATTTTCCTCTCTGAATGATTCATTACACAGAATTAAAAGTCATTCACTTACAGCAGAGGTCGTGAAACAGCTTTTTGAAAATGTGCTTTTGGGTATTCTCTGTTTAAACTCATTTATAAAACAGTATAATCATCAGGCAGTTAGGGCTGTTCGATATAACGATATATATCAGATGACGATATAAAAACGTCTGTCGTTTCATTTTACGCTATCGTTTGTTTCGTGGTGTCGCAAAATAAACTGTTTACGGAAATATTTTTCATTATTTTGATGGTCACTGTAGCGGCTATATTCATTTCTTAAAGTTCTCTCTTTCTCTTATATTTTATATAACCACACTACGGACGGACAAGCGCCTGTTTTTATGCGTTGTGGTTAGCAACAACGATGGTAACACCATCGCGTGTCCGCTTGTTTATGTTCCACATAAACCTTTCACAATTAAGCTCAAGATCCTGTTGAGACTTTTCAAAATAAACTGAATCACGTGAAAGAGCAGATTATTTACAGATGAGAAGTAAAAAAGAGCCGCCGGGTGCTAAAAAATAAACCTTAGACTCAAACGTTAGAACAGCCTTTTCCCCGCAGCACGCCGTGTAATAAATACTCACAAAGAAAACGGCGGCCGTTACAACTTATGTCTAAAAATGTATCGCTTCATGCGTCGGTTAAAACACTCGACTCCAGCTACATGACGTGGAAACGCTGGAAACACTTCCCGCAAGTCGAGCTGCCCGAGATTCACAGAATTTACAGAAAATGTTACATTTTTGTGATTTAAATCGTTATCGGGATGATAACGATTAAGAGCTCTAAATAGAGTGTGTGTAGTGCTGAGTTAGAGTACACTCGCCCACATCTGCTAACACATTTTTCTACAAGTTTTCCAATTTCTTTTGAAAGAAACAACAACAAACAAAAAAAAAACAAAACACAAAACATTTTTTAAACTACATTTACAAAACTGAGTGTTTGCTCAAAGTCACAAAATGTTTCATACCAGACACATAAACAAAGCCAGCCAAAATATTACCAGTGCCGAGCATTTATTACACGCTGCGGCATGAAAATGAAAAACACAGACTTCAGGACATGACGCCCGAGTCGTTCCAACCTACTCGGGCTGTTTTGTTCCATAAAAGTCACAATGTGAAGCAGAAACTCCAGAAACAAACCACAGGCCGGGTAAAACATCTGAAACCTGAAGTTATGAACCTTAAACCTGCACTCTTTATAATGACCAGCAGGGGGCGACCTGCTTCTCCTGCGATCTCCGACCCAACAACACTTTGTCCAAATTATTAAATCAATCAATAAATAAATTTACCAAAAATGATAAATAAATGATTTTTAATAAATTATGATGCAATTAAAGAAAAAAGGACGATAAAACAGAGGATGCTCATAGGCTAACGACTTGATTTCACCAAAATGATTATAGCAACTAACCCATGAGTGATGTCACAGTGGCTACTGCCATCTTTTATATACAGTCTATCATATCAACTATCTCTTGGCCTCTCAGGATGAACATTTTTTATTTGTTTTTAGTTTGAATCTGCAGTTGTGTTTAACAAAAAAGGTTAAATGAGATCTGAGATTGGTTTTAAAAGTGGGTGAATATATTAAGTTAGTGAGGACAGCAGTGTTATAGCATCTAAACTTAAATCCATGTGAACAGTCCTTTTTAAATAACCAAAAATGAACGTGTGTTCCTACAAGTCTGATGAGATATGATGTAAACACTTCTTATATCAAAGAGTAAGGTAGGACAAAGCAGATTCTCTGGTTCCACTTCATCACTTTGTGAACATAAATGAAGCAGCACATTCCTGTTTTCACTTCATATTTTTGTCATTTCATAGAATAAAAACGGGCGGATGAGCTTGGAAAGACTTTGGCTTCATGTCCTGGACCCTGCCTGTTGTAAATGTCATGCTGCAGTGTGAAATAAAGACTCGGTGTTGATGCTTTTCTGAGAATATCATGCGGTTTGGAGCAAAGATAAAACTGTGTTTGTGCGTTTGCTTGTTTCTGAAGAGTCAGAAGTTTTAAAAATGCTGTCTGAAAAGAAATGTGTCTGAGAAAGTGTAAATATTAAAGACAAAAACATCAAATCTGAGGCTTAAATCGCGGTAAATATTTCAGTCTGGTTTAATTTCATTCCGCTGACAGTAAAATAGTCCTTTCAGGTTCGTGAACTCACCTCCGCGCTTTGAACTTGAATCTCTCTGTTCGTCCACCTAATGTTTGTGCCAAAGGTCAAACAGCTGGGAACTTTTCGGCTCAGTATTCCTGTGAAGGAGCTCCTCTCCGCTCTTCTTCCATGCAGTCTTCTGCTTTTTTCTTGCAGATGTTTGAGCGCTCTCTCGCTCTCTCTTTCTTTTTCTCTCTCCTGCACCTACTGCGCTTTGTTCGCGCACTGAGCTGTTCACGGAGGAGCGCTCCTCCCCAATTTAAACCAGCCAGGCCACGCCTCCTCTGCGTCACGAAATGGGCGTGGTTCCTGCCTGTGGTCAGGAAGATGGATGACTGCTGATCTAAAATCTAAATATGCCATAATTATCTCCTGACTGTGACTGCAAACAGTCGTTTATTCACATGACGCTTTGCTTCAAGAGAGAAATTATTCTTCTTACAACAACAGGGATTTATTACTAAATAAAAACAGAATCAATAAATAACTCAAATCAGTTTAACTTAAAGAGTTAGGCTTTCTGCTCCAGATTTATTTATAATATTTATTTAAATCTAATTTTATTTATGTATTTATGTAGTTTAATGGGCGTGTTTCTAATTTATTGTTCGAATGTGAAGAGCCAATCCTGAAATAAAAGGAGTCCAAGAGGACCAAGAAACAAAGAAGGAAGGAAAGTATAAGAAGGAATGGAGAAGGATGCTAAGGGGAAGAAAGGAAGGCATTTAGGAAGAAGGGATAAAAGGATGTTAAAAATTAAGGAAATTACAGTTCAAATGGAAAGGACCAGGGGAGGAAAAAATTAAAGAGCAACAGGTAATGAATGAATGAAGGAAGGAAATTAGGAACATGGAAAATAAGGAAGAAAGAGAAAAGAAGGAAGGAAGAAAGGGTGACAGACGGACTCAAAAAGTAAGGAATATGGAAGGAAGGAAGGAAGGAAGGAAGGAAGGAAGGAAGGAAGTTGGGAACAAGGTAAGAAAGGAAAGTTTGAAGGGGGAATGAGAAAAAGGAGAAAAAGTAGAAAAGTATGAAGGACGGTATAGGAGCAAGAGAAATAAGGATTTAAGGATGAAAGTGAAAAGAAGGAAGGTAGGAAGGAAAAGAAGAAGTGAAATAAATTAGTAAGGAAGTAAACTGCATGTCTATTATATTTATAATTATTATTATTATTTTAAGTTCGTTTCACCTGTCTTTTATATACAGTCTATGGATGAGGGTAATTATGAACCTTTGGAATTAATTTCTGACTTTAAGTTTATTAAAAGTCTCCCCTCCTTCACTGAAGATTCATTAGTATATGCACAATAAGACCATGACAAGCCTCACATGTAACACCTCCTCTGGTAATAAGCCCACACATGATCCTGTTCTGAGGACGCTGGTGTTGTTGGAGGGGGGGATCTGTAGTGTGTGTGAAGCTTTTTAAACTAAAGGGGGGCTCCGGGGAGAGCAGCTCTAACCACAGTGTCAGTTCCCTGTCAACACCTTTAATTATGTGGTTATTTATAGCTGCGCGGGCGCCTCTTGTGGGTTCAGAGTCATACATCACACCTGCAGAGGGCTGTGATAAACACTGCTCGGGTTCAGGTCTGCAGGTTATCTGGTTATGTTAATATTTTTATTAAACCGACCAGGTGTGTTTAGTCAGTGGAGTTATAAAGCATGCAGAGAGGGTGAGGCTTAAAACCACAATCAAAAACATCATGCTTTAAGAGCACACCTCTGAGATTATAATTACTGCCACATGCAAACAGCCGGGCTTCGTTCGGTGTGGCATAAACGTGCCTAGCGCGACCCCTGCTGGACAAAGTGCTCACGTGCGGGGTAAGTGCAAAGAAGCTGCACTACCTTAAAGGAGCGTGTTTTCTAAATTATCGGGCCAAAAAACAGAGGTAACAAATATTCAGACGCAGCATTTTCAGCCTTCGGGCTGTTTAAAAACGTTTTTAGATCTGAATGCCCTTTTGCCAAATTTAGCCTGAATCTTCGGCGCAGACTAATTTTTTTGTGGGAGCTTTAAATAGGAAAGGACCTGGGCTTGTTTAAGTTAGTAAAGATATTTCACATCTCCTCCAAGAGGAGTCTTCATTTTTAAGACAAAAGGTGGAGGGTCCCAGGTATGCAATTCATAGGACTCATAAGACCGCCCTAAACTGGATGACTGAAAATCTACATAATCAAACACCATTTTCAGTTATTATAATTAAGTAAGTAAGATGGGAGCAAAGCAAAAACAAGAAGTCTACACCACTCTTTGAAATATCAGCGGCAGTGCGACCTGATATGACTTATGTGCACATGCGCAGTGTGAACTATAGGGGGCGACAGGCTCCTGCTATCACGCTGGAGCCGGTAACGGGGCGGAGAAGAAGAAAAATGCAGTTAACTGTTTGTTTTGATTGCATTAATCAGCTCGTGTAGGTTAGCAGCAGTCAGCCTCATTCGATCTGAGTGGAAATATTACCGTATGGCTTCATTTTTATGAGCTACGAGGGTAAAGTGGGGAGGAGTTCAGATTTAAATAGTTAAAATCGACTAACTGGACCAGCTACTTCACATGTTAGCGAACATCGGAGCTTCCTTTAAACATTTTTATCCTGAGAACAGCGAAGAATAGGAGAGACTGTAATAATCACACGGTGAGTTTGAAACCTGACATTACTCTGACTCCACTTCCTGCTGTTGACACACTCCAACAGGCTACAGTTTAATGTTATCTTTTAGCATGTTAGCTTATCCGTCAGCACAGTTTAGTGTAGCTGAACTTGTCGGCTGTCAAAAGGTGAGCACAGGTGGGTTAAAGGTGGTTGTCATCAGGTTGAAAGTCTACTGAGGTTTATTATCTTTTTCTAATTCTACTGATTAACGTCATGTCAGTTTACGGTAATCCTCCGTTCCCCTCCCCAAAGCCACACCCACAAGGGCCTTCAGCTGTGGGGAAAATCCATACACCAAGCTCCCCGTGACTGCGATCATACAGATCACATATGTCATTGTGAAACATCTAGGAATGAACTGAGCAACCAAGTCTTTAAAGTCTATTCATAAACAAATAAGTCAATAAATAAACCAAATAATGCCATTATATACAATGTAAATCAGTGTAGCTGTTTATGAATTTAAAAAGTAAAACATAATTTTGTAATTTTAGTTTGAATTTGTATTCATTTGCTTCAATGTGTAAGTGTAAGCCCAAGGGGCCGTGCTGTTTACTGCAGCTGCATTCGCATTCACATTGAACTGTCTGAATGTGAAAACACTGAGGCATTTTACTTTTCATAGACATCTATATATATATGGTGGTCTCAGAATCTCATCTCTGCTTTTTGCGGATGATGTGGTTCTGTTGGCTTCATCGAGCGGGGGCCTCCAGCTCGCACTGGAACGGTTCGCAGCCGAGTGTGAAGCAGCGGGAATGAGGATCAGCACCTCCAAATCTGAGGGATGAGTTCCTGCCCCAAGTGGAGGAGTTCAAGTATCTCGGGGTCTTGTTCGCGAGTGATGGGAGAAGGGAGCCGGAGATCGACAGACGGATTGGGGCTGCGGCTGCAGTAATGCGGCCGCTGCACTCCGCTGCACTGGTCCGTCATGGTGAAGAGGGAGCTGAGTGTAAAAGCGAAGCTCTCAATTTACCGGTCGATCCCTACCCTCACCTATGGCCATGAGCTGTGGGTAGTGACCGAAAGAACGAGATCGCGGATACAAGCGGCGGAAATGAGCTTCCTCTGAAGGGTGGCTGGCCTCTCCCTTAGAGATAGGGTGAGAAGTTCGGCCATCCGGGAGGGGCCCAGAGTAGAGCCGCTGCTGCTCCACATCGAAAGGAGCCAGCTGAGGTGGTTCGGGCATCTGACAAGGATGCCCCCTGGGTGGGGTGTTCCAGGCATGTCCCACCGGGAGGAGGCCCCGGGGCAGACCCATGACACGCTGGAGAGATTATATCTTTTGGCTGGCCTGGGAACGCCTTGGTGTCCCCCCCGGCTGGGTGTCCCCCCCCCAGCCACCTCCTTCACTAGCTGAAGGAGGTGGCTGGGGAGAGGGAGGTCTGGGCTTCTCTGCTTAGGCTGCTGCCCCCGCGACCCGGCCTCGGATAAAGCGGATGAAGATCGATGGATGGATGGATGGATGGGTGATTTAAGTGTTCTAATTTCTCTGAGCATTGTAATAGACATATTAATAACGTTACTTGTGTGAATACATTGGAAATCTGCGATTGTTCACCTCTGAACACTGGTGGGATGAGGAGGAGTGTAATCCATAGTTACAGAAACACCTTTAACACCTACACAGAGCTTTGTGAAGGCTTTAGGGGTAAAACAGCTTGTCTCAGACAGAGAGTGAGCTGAAAGGCTTCATATACCTCCTAAACTAAACCATAAATAGTTTAGTCCCGGGATAAAAATGTAGTGCTGTAAATGAGCGGAATCGTTCCCTTTAAATCATTCAGTAATCACACTACAGCTTATTGTGTTTCTGTGATACAAGTTAAATTCATATTTATCTGATTAGTCTTTCATGTCGCTGCTTCTCCTAGAGTGCAGGTGGTGTGGTCAGGGTTGTCCAACCTGTCCGTCAGACCTCCGTGTGACTCTTGTTTGAGTGGAGGGGGAGGGAACAGGAAGGAAAACACCTGGGGTCAGGATGCCTCTATTCTTCAGGAAGAGGAAGCCCAGCGAGGACTGCCAGAAGAGACTTGAGTATCAGCTGTGCCGGGTAAGAAGAAGAAGCTGCTGGTGCTAGTGTTAACATATCTATCACAAATCCACCCGCTTACTCTTAGTTATCCTCCTCAGTCTAAGGAAGCTGGTGCTGATGACATCCTGGACATCTCAGCCTGTGGGCTGTCAGAGGTGAGAGGAAAGCTGCACTGATCCCTGACAGCCATCGTGTTGTGGTTTACACATTAACCTGATGAGTAACAGTAGCCTTTATTTCTCTTTTTCTGTTATGTTAGCAAACTACTAATACTTCTAAACTACTAGTATTTTTGCTCTCTGTATAGCTATATGAACATCTGTTTACTTAACCTATTTGTGGATAATCTGTTCATCAATATTCCCACCTTTTATACTACCCATATCTGTATATAATCTGCTCTTATTGCACTTACTGCTCTTGCACTTCTGATTAGAAGCAAATTGTATTTCGTTACCCTGCATATATATTTTATATATTTATACATGTGTTATGACAAAAAAGTCCTAATCTATCCTAAAC